AATGCTATTTGGATTCTTTATGAAACAGTGAGCTCAGTACTTCACAGGGCAGAACATTTCATGTTTGGATAACTCTGTTCTCTCTCTTTTATTTCTTGTCTTTTCACACAGGGCTTGTGGGGTTGGGGGGAGAACTTCAGATATACAAGATTTGAGTTCATCGTCTTCCCCAGTTCATAGTACACCATTAGTCCACACAAGATTTCTCTTTCAGTTTTTTTATTTTTGTTCCTTTCCTCACTCTCTCCCCCTGCAGTCGCCCTCCCTTTAATGTATTTTATATATCCTTGCAGTCCACCTCTTACCTGTTCAATCTGATATAAAAGGATCTTTCAAACACATCGTATGGTAGTGTGTGCGGGTAGAGTCTTTATTATCATGGATGGTATTGTAGGATGGCTATAGTCGTTAGGTTATTCTTCTTTGCATCTCAGAGAAGCAGCTACCTCTCTGAACTTTCTCCCATTTGGTTCTAGTTTTGCCCTCATGGAGCTAAACAAAAAAGCCCCACACCCTCTCCCACCATTCCAAGACAGTCATCATGGTCCCTCTTCTGCAGCCCCCATCTGCCCTCTCACAGGATATGGGATTTTCCTTATTCCTCCCCAGGATGCTCTGTAGTTAGATGGCATTCCCCTTGAAGGGTCCTGACCACTCCACCCACCCCCGCAGCCACATCTGGATGATGTACTTCTCTACTCCTAGCAGGAGAGGAACTTGAGATATTATGTGACTGGGCCATATAGCAAGATAGTGTAAGAAGTAAGATTTGGTTAGAAGCAGGCATTTAACTGTTTTCGGTTGGACATCCCTGCCCTTGGCCTTTTCTGCCTGGTTATCAGGATAGGGGAACTGTAAGTCTCGGTGGTGTGGGGGTAGCTTCAGGTGGGGCATCTCCCTCCTCACTCCACCTTGGGTTCTCTGAGCGCAGCACTAGAAGCCCCATGCCCAGATACCAGTTGACACTCCCTTCCTTAGATGTAGGTGGAAGGTCCTTCAGGATGTACTGGAAGGATTGCAAGTCATGTACTTATCTTCCAGGCTGAGTGGACCGGGCACAGGGAGCTGAGGGTGCCTATATCCCCATGTGGAATAACCCCCCCTCCTCATCCTCTGCTGTTTTATCTGTATGAGCCCTTTATAGACACCAATGCTTACATTTCTTTGTTATTGAGCTAAAATTGACATATCATAAAGTTAACCAATGTATAGTGAACAATTCACTGTCATTCAGCGCATTCACAGTGTGTGCAACCATCACCTCAATCGACTATTGCTTATTACTCCGGTGCAATCCCTTTCTCACCCCAAAAGGAAACCCCATACCCATTAAGCCATCGCTCCCCATTCTCCCTTCCCCTCTGCCTCTGGTGAGCACCCCTCTGTGTCCTGGCTGTATGGATTTACCTTTTGCATCTTGAATATAAATGAGATCATTCTATATGGGACCTTTTGTGTCTTGCTTCTCTCATTGAGCATAACCCTCTCAGGTTTCATCCACATCACAGCATGTGTAGTACTTCATTATCTTCCACGGCCAAATAATATTTCACGGAACGTACATACTGCCATATTGCTTATTTGTTCCTCTCTTGATGGACATTTGGGCTGTTTCCGCCTTCTTGCTGTTGCGAATAATGCTGCAATGAACATGTGTGCACATGTACTTGTTTGAGTCCTGGTTTTTAATTCTTTGGGGCATATATCTAGAAGTAGAAATATGGGGTCTTATGATAAGTCTATGTTTAATTTTTTAAGGAAGCTATACATTTCTTTTTTAAATAGCAACTCTACTCTGGAGCTTTCCTGCATATGGAGAGACAGGGGAAGTAGGTGAGGAGTCAGGAGATCTGGGTTCTTTTCCTGACCTTGCCGCTAACAAGCCGGGTGACCTTGAGCAAATCATTTCCCCTTTCTGGGCTCTTGTTTCCTCATTTGAAAAGTAAGGGGACTGCATAAAGCTAAATCATCTTTCAATTCTCTTTGTCTTTTAAGATTTTATTGGAAAAATTAGGTTCCAGAGAGAAGAGAGAGAATTGTCAAACAGCTATACATGATTATCTCTATATGCATTCTCTACCGTGTTTTTAAATTGTGAGTTAAAAGCACCCCAAGTAATTGGGCTTTTTTCCCCCCTGCCTATGTGTTTCTAGCTAATGAGTAGCTTCTGGCTTATTTCCATCAAGATTCCCAGAACAAGATATCCTTCTCTTGCCCATCACTTCCTACAGCTTGGCAACTCCTGAGCAAAACGTGGCCATCATGAAGCCAAGACTGGAGCCATTCCATCCCCACGGTCCTGTCTGAAGGAATGCTGAGCCTCCTCCCCTGCTAGTTCTCTCATCACTAAGGTGTCAGCTGGATCACCTGAGTCTGTCTGGTCTTTGGAGATGTCGGATCCAAGGAGAGGAGTTAGCAGACTCTTCTTCAGTCCATGTAAAGACCATCTTAGAAGGTTAGGAGGAAGAACCAAGGACCTCCTGTGATATTGTCCAGCCAGGAGGTTTTCCTCCTTGGGGGATTTCTACTCTCCTGAGCCTCTTTCAGCTGACTGATTCCCTGGCCCGAGTGCAGTGCCTCGGTAGGGAGGGAGTTTTTCCTCCACTAATCGATAGCCTCCACAGTATGCCATCCAGGTCCAAAGCATGTGTTCTCCTGAGCTGCCTGCTGGCTTTCTGGGGGAAGCATGAGGTTTTTAAAAAACACGTGATCCAAGTGTTTTATTTCATTCGGCCAGCCATTTATTTGCTCATTTTTCATCCATCCATCCCATACTTTTGAGTGCTTCCTGTGTTTTCAGCACCACGTTAGATTTTAGGAATAAACAAGATGAGGCACCTTCCCTATGGTGCCTTCCTTTTTTAATAGAGAATACAGACGAGTGGCTTTTGGAATGAATACAATGAATACAAAGTGACAAATGCTGGGGCGCCTGGGTGGCTCAGTCAGCTAAGCATCCAACTCTTGATTTCAGCTCAGGTCATGATCTCAGTGTCATGAGTTCGAGCCCCCATCAGGTTCCATGCTCAGCAGGGAATCTGCTTGAGATTCTCTCTCTCTCTCTCTCTGCGCCTCCAGCCCACTCATGAGCTCTCTCTCTCTCTCTCCAAAATAAATAAACCTTTAAAACAAAAGTGACAAATGCTATATAATGGGGAGGGGATCGTAAATGATGTTCAGGAATACAGACGAGGGACACACAGGTCATACTTGGCAGATCCTCATGAGAGGGCAGATTCAAAGCATGTTCTAGACAGAAGCTAATCTGCACAGAAGTCACAGCAGGACGCATGAGGGGACCTGGCAGGTGACCAGTGTTGGCTGGAACACAGAACACAGAGGGAGGGTGATGGGAGGCAAGATTGCAGAGGGGGCCGGGAGGACGTCTGAGCCACCTCGAAGGATTTAGCCCTCTGGCAGCTGTGAGCTAGTGAGTTTGATTGGGGAGTGGCACACTTGCATCTGCACTTTAGAGAAGGACAACTCTGGTGATGGTGGAGAATGAGTCAGAGGAGTAAGAGTAGAAGTGGCGAGAGCCCTCAGGAAGCTGTTGTGGTCACTGTCATGAAACAATGGTGACCAGAACCAGGGTGGAAGCCGTGGGAAGGAAAGCAAGTGGATGGAGTCCAGAAATATACCTGAGGCTGGGGGGCTGCTGTTGGGCCCAGCTTCCAGGAAAGAAACTGCTGCAGTTGGAATTCGAATCCTTTAGCTGGCCCCACATCCCCGCCCAGAGGAGGTGCCTCATCCTCCAGGTCTTCAGAAGGGTAACCTTGTCTCCCAGGAGCCAGCCCTGGAGCCCTGCTCCTTTTGCCAACAGCCTCAGGCAGGATAGATGAGAGACGGTGGTGGGGTACAAAGAAGAGGAGCATTCTGGGGGAACCTCCTGCCACCCTCTTTGACTCGGCCTCAGGGCAGAACAGCACACTGCACCCAGTTTGAAGACTCCACGTTTCAGACCCCATGGCAGTCTTAAAGCACTCTAGCTCAGTGCCTTCCCTAGGCCACTCTGTTCTTTTTTCAAGCATAGTTAACATACAGGATTGTATTAGTTTCAGGTGTACAATATAGTGATTCAGCAGTTCCAGACATTACTCAGTGCTCATCAGGATAAGTGTGCTCTTAATCCCTTAATCTGTTTCACTCACCCCCCACCCACCTCCCATAGGCCATTCTCTCTCAGGAGGTGGGGAAAGGGGTTTATCTCTTACAGACTCATTCTAGGCCCCTTGGACAGTCATTTTTAATCTTTCCCCTTAAAGGGCCTGGAATGATTTGTTGTGCTTGAGAATGTGAACATTGGGCTGTCAGAATATCTCTCATTCTACCAACCCGGTGGATTCCCCTTCTTCTGGGTCATAGTCTCAGCATTGCCATTATCTCTAAAGGGTCAGCATCCGGGACCACTGTATCTTTGCTGCACAAAATATCTGCAGAAATCCATTTTTTTAAAAAAAGTCCTTTAAGCAGCCAGCTTTCACCTGTCTAACCCCACACAATACATAGGGTCCAGAGAAGCGATGAGATTGGTGTGTTGCTTACTGGCCCAGTGCATGGCATCCTAGGTGCTAGACCAGTGGGACAGTGTTTTTTCACGACTCTTCCATGCAGAGTTGCCCTTCCTTCTAGAACAGTGGTTCTCAACTGGGAGTGGTTTTTCCTCCAGGGGACAGTTGGCAATGTCTAAAGACATTTTTGATTAGGGGGAGGAATGGGCCCTACTGGCATCTCGTGGATAGAGGCCAGGGATGCTGCTAAGCATCCTGCAATACCGAAGATCGTTGCCCACACAAAGAATTGTGGGTCCCCAAGGTCAATAGCACAAGGTTAAGAAACCTTATTTAAGAACATCGGTCTATGACCAAACCCTTGAGTTCTTCAGGCCCTGTAGGGTTGCTAGAACAAACCGCAAGTTCCAGAAAAACTCACTTGGCATTGTATTTCTTTCCACAGCTGAGCTCTGTCCGGGAGGCCCAGGTAGAGCGGCTGGAGGCAGCAAGACCTCGCAGGCCGGGGTGCAGGGAGCGGGGCCCCGTGCTGAGGATGGCCAGGCAGCAGCCGCCGCCCTGGGTCCACACAGCCATCCTGCTCTGCCTCCTTAGCCTCACTGGGGCCATCGAGATTCCTATGGATCGTGAGTACTGCTCCATCCTCTTCTTTAATTCTCCTGATTTGGGGCAGAGGAGTTGGAGGGGAGGGATGGTCAGGGGGAGTTAAGATCAGCTTTCAAAGAGGCTGGAGAGCGGGGTAGCGGTGGATTCTGGGTGCAGAGCTGGGTTTCCCTCCAAAGAATGGAGGCCGGCAGGCTTGTGTTTGGGACCGTGAGATGAATCGTGTAGCACAATCTCTGAGGACTGTGGCTGAGCCGAGGCTTGCGCTGTCTGGAGCCTGCTGAGCAGGACCGGAGGTGGCAGGGTTTGCAAGTCTGTGTGTCGCTCAGGAGTTCTTCCCTCTGCTCCCCTCCCACGGCCCTCTGCAGTCTTGACTTGCCCATCAACGTGGAGCTTCCAAGGACCCAGTGTAGCAGATAGTTATTTGCCTTTCTAATATCTGAGCTGGACCCTTGGGCTGTCTTGGCTGGACTGAATCAGGGTGGATGGCCTGGGGAGGGTTGGGGAAGAGAATTATTCTGCAAAAGACTGGGTCTAAATGAAACATTAAAAAAGAGCTCCACTATAATGCCACTGTGGGAAAACCAGGCACTGATTTCTCGTGTTTGTTTTCAGCTCTCCCATGGCAAAGTTGGGAAGTAAAACCTGTGTCATTCTGTGTCCCACGGTGGGGGTGTTATTTGGCCATCAGAATCATCAGGCAAGGGGCTTAGGATGCTGATCTAATAGCCCCATCTCTAGCAGCCATATCTGTTGTTATGTTCAGAAGGGGCCCATGGACTGGCAGCCCCGTTCCTTTGCCCCGCATTTAGATGTGTACCACCTTTGCCATAATTCTGGCTCTTCCATCAGAATGTCTTGGCATTCCAGTGCTCTGATGTGGGCATACCACCTCTGTCGCCTGTTCCCTGCTTCCAGAAATAGATGGGACCCACATGATGCCAACCCTGACTTGGGCTCTATCCAGGTGACAGATGTCTGGGGAGGGTTGGGAGAGTGATACAGCCTCCAAGGAGTACCCACCGAGCTCTCCTAAGCCAGGGCCTGGGGCCTGGAGTTAGCCCAGTTTGGAGAAGAGTTGCACATACTTCAACCCCGTCCCGCCCAACCCTACCAATAATAGCTGCCAAGAGGAGTAGGCACTTCTGGGTAAGAGAAGACTAGCAGAAACTATAAGTTGGACCCAGAACCAAGATGGTCAAGGCCCCTGCTGCCCTCCCAACAGCCCCGAGTGTGTGTGTGTGTGTGTGTGTGTGTGTGTGTGTACACGCATGTGTATGCATGTGTGTGTGTATTCAGTGGGAAGGGGCGGTGTCGTGAAAGGAACTGTTCCCATGGAGACCATCTGTGCTGCTAACTCAAAGAAGAGTGTCTCATTAACAATCCCAGGCAGACAATCTAATAAGGAGCACGATAAGGCCATGTCCCTGGAGAGGAGAGGGTGTGCCGAGGAAATTGGGTTATCAAGGAAGTGGTGAAGGCTCATTTCTCTTCTGCTGCTTCTCCTCACTCATTCACCTGCCACTTTGATCCCTTGGGCTAGTGGGTGAGGGGTTCCTCCAAGATGAACTTATAAATAGATGGCTTTGACCTCTCTGTTAGGAATCTGGATTTCTAAAGCGCTGTTGGGACCGTGGGCAGGTGACCCAGCAGTGGGTGTCTCCAAAGTACCGCATGTGGGGCAGAGAGCTGCAGGTGCCCTGACCTCCCCAGCACCATCTCCGCATCTCCTCAGTGTCCATGAGGAGGGAGGCCCCCGGAGAGTCTCCACTTCTGGAATTGTCGTCAGGGACACGGAGACCCTACACAGCAAATGGGTGCTGGATTCATGAATAGATCCTGGGTCTCTTGACCTGCCACCAGGTTGGCACTCAACACACCGCACCCTGACCTCCATTAATCCTGCCTTCTTTTAGTTCTTGGAATCACCAGGGTAGCAGCTGCTGTGTGCCCGGCCGAGAGCTAAGTGCGTTAGGAGCATCTCCTGTGATTCTCACAGTGAATCCTTTGCTGACAGGTTAGAAAATGGAGGTACCACTCTCCAGCACTTAAGTGGTAGGGCCGGCGCATGGCCACAGCCCCTCTCTGAATGAGGAAGGGGATCCTTTTGTGACACCATGTCTGATTCCCCGGCTCTGTCACAGCAGGAAACCCATGAGGGCTTCCCAGAGCAAGTGTATCTGAGGTGGCTGCAGGCACAGTGGCCATGGCGACCTCTCCAGAATGGGTCTGCTACAGCTGAACGCAAGACAAGAGAAGGCCAGCCCTTCAGAGGGGACCCAGTGGCCCTGGGAAGAAGTCCTCTTCAGCCAGCTTTTCCCCTCCTGCGGGCCCAAGCATGACAGGCACCCTCCGCCCAAGTTACCTGAGCCCATCCTTCCCTCTTACCCTGGGCTGAGGCCCAGGGGGCTGGGCTGGGGAAAGATCACACATTCTTTTTCCTTTCCCCCTCAGAGTTACTGAGGTATTTATTGATATACAACCTATGTAAGTGTAAGGTGGACAGCTTGGTGATTTGCTACACATATGTATTGTGAAATGATTGCCACATGGGTTAGTTTACCCATCCACCCCATCCCATAATTACCTTGTGCGTGCAGTGACAGCTTGGAAGATCTACTCTCGGAACAGCTCTCAAGTGTACAGTACAGTATGCTGTGCGTTCAGCCCCCGGAACATGGCCGTCTTACAGCTGGACGTTTGTACCCCTTCACCAGCATCTCCCCGCTTCCCCCCACGCCCCAGCCCCTGACAACCAGCATTCCACTGCTTCTTTGAGTTTGACTTTTTTAGATTCTACATATAGTGAGAACATACCAGAGCTTTCTCTGACTTAATTTCACTTAGCATGACGTCCTCAAGGCCTACCCATGTTGTCACAAAAGGCAAGAGAGATATCTACAGTGTTCCCTGCAGCATTATTCATGATCGCCCAGGTGTGGGGCAAGTGAAGATCAGGCACCCAAAACTTTCTGTGTGTGTTGCCCGGGAGCGGCTGAGGGGGCTGAGGCTGGAGGCTGGAGACTGCCCTGTCAGGGGCGCCCTTCCACTCGCCTGCCCCTTCAGGGGGCAGTATCTGTGCCTTGAGGACTGGGGCATTGCTTCTGCTCTGGGGAGTTTGGGCCCCGCAGGCTTCCTGGAACAGCCCCAGGCTGTGACACAATCCCTCATTGAAACACCAGCCTCCAGCCCCTGCTGCTTGGCCAACAGAGTCACACGCACCCACCCCCCTGCCCACCCCAAGGAGAACAACATGACCTTTGAAGAAAGCAAAGGGTCACCTCATCAACAAGAGCGGGTCTGCCAAAAAGTGAGTCTGCTGGCAGCTCGCCCCTCCGTCCCCCTCCCCACATCAAGGGACTCGGCCTTTTTCTCCTAGGAACCCACAGAGGAGACACATTTTGTCCTCACTCTCATTCCAAATTGTGCTGCAAGATGACCTCAACACACACACACACACACACACACACACACACACACACACACACACACACATTCACTCACACTCCATCCTCCAGGGACCGGTGCCAGGGGCTGTGGATATCAGCCAGGGAAAGAGAAGACATGCAGGCATACAGAAACCTTACAGATGGGGCAGGCCTCTGCCTTACCCGCTGCAGAGCTCATTGGAAAATTTTTCCCTCCCCCTCGGAAGCCACAAGAGCAGACTCATTTTCCGCTTGACATCAGCAGCAAGTTTTGTAGATGGGGAGAAGGGCGGGTGGCATGACATGGGGTTTGCGGGGTGTCACAGGACAAGGTAGGTTGCCCTTACCCCCAAGCAGGCAGTCCTCACTGTCATCTCCCTGTGCTGGCTTGTCTTCTGGGTTGGTTGAATCTCTGTAATAAATTCCTTGGTGACACAACAGTGGTTGCAGATGTCATGACCTCTTTAGGGAAGTAGACTCTCAAGAGGCCCCTGGACTGATTTCATCGTGGGGTTGGGGACAGCATCCGGCCGGCTCTGAGAGTCTCCACTCCCCCTTACTCACCTTTGTCTGGAATGTCAAGGAGAAGAGCGTGCTGGGGCCCCACCTGGCCAACCCACCTCTCTGGCCAAGGATAGATTCGTAAAAAGAGCTCTGGACCAGACTACAGAAGAGCTGGTTCTCATTCCAGTTCTGCAGCAAATTTCCTATGTGACCTTAACCAAGTGACTTCCCTTCCAAGAATCTGAGATTCCCTGGATAATGTCTAGGGCTCTTTCCATTGAGCCAGCCCTTGATTTTATAAGAGAGGCTTGAAGGCCATGTGGGCAAAATACAGCCTCGGCCAGGGCAAGGTCAGAGCCCTCCACTGTGCGTGGGGCCCCGAGAAGCATCAACTCTGTCTTGAGATGAAGAAACTGCAGGCCTGGGTTGGTGGTCCAAAGGAGAAGGTCAGTGTCAGCCCTGCTTCTCCTGAAAATGACCCCTTCTCCCCACCTGCCCTCCATGCCCAACTACACTGGCTTTCCAGAATTAACCTTTCTTGGGCCCCTGGCCGGAAAATCTTATATGGGTGAAGATGCCACTGTGGGGCTCTCCAGGGAGCATGTGTTCAGAAACCACAGATTTCTGCTTTTCCCCGGGACTTTTCATTTCTTTTTGTTTCCTGCCAAGGCTGCACCCAGGCAAATGGTAAAGCAGATAAAATTACTTTCCGGTGCCCCAGCAGGCCACACAACCCTGGCCCACTTGAAAGAATTATTCCGGACCTTTTAGTGTGTCTTACTCAAGACTTTGACTTACTGACAGCGTGCATAGCAGGGAACCCCTTCCTGCCACACTCAGCCTCTCCTCCCTGATGTCTGTCTTCTCTTTTGGGATTCTTCCGGCACCTCTTGGTCCTGCCTTAACTCTGCCTTCTCCACGCTGCCCCCTCTCTGGGCCCCTAAGCTCCTCTTCCATCTCCTCAGCCATCTCATGGTGGCTGAGTCAGGAAGCTTCGAGGTCACCTGGGCTCACCCGCAGCCTCTGCTTTCCCCTGAAAAAGCCTGCGACACCAACACGTCCCTGATGTCAGCGCCAACGTGGAAGAAGCTTGGCATATGACTTCATGCTAGAGCCATAAAGAAAAGACCTCTTACAAAGTTACAGAAACACTTGTTCTCTTTTCTGCAAATTTTAAACCAAGGCCGCCCTTCCCAGAAAGTTCATTACCATCGAAAGTCCTGCTGTGCGAAGCGTGGTACCCAGACCACCAGCATCAGCACCACCTGGCTGCTTGTCAGAAATGTAGGATCTGCTCAGTTAGAACCTGCATTCTAACTAGACCCGCCCCTCAGGTGATTCATATACTTGTCAGAGTGTGAGAAGCCCGACCTCAAATAGACTCATACCTGTGCACAGGCCCGTGCAGGTCTCAGGTGAGGGATGGGGGAGATTTGTGCTACCTGCCTCTTTATCTCTTCCATAAAAAGCGCAGAAAGGAGTGGTGGGCTCCGCTTCATCCCTGCAGTTGTTTGGAAGAAGGATTTCTGTAGGGCAATGTACTTCTGCCATGAGCAGAGCCACAGTGATTCATCGGTCCCTAGAATTTTCCAAAGGGTAGGCAAGAAGGTGCTTGCATGTGTGACAGAGAGGAAGGTGTGGTGGGAGGAGTGAAGCCTGTGGACCATGCTTGGGGCCCTTGGGGCTTTGCTCTGAAGCCCTGGTTCAGATCTGCTGCCGCCCAGGCTTCTCAGCCCCACACCTCTGGCCAGGGAGCCCACTTTCCTCAGCAGCATCTAGAAGGATGGGCAGCATCTTCAGAGCCCAGTCTCTTTCAAGCAGCCTTGTCACTTTTCATATTTGGACTTCCCTTGGTGACATAATTTGGTCAGAGGCTGGTCTTTCTGCTCAGCTGCATGGTTTGAACTCCCTGTGGAGGTGTCACCTCCTCCACAAAGCACTCGCTGGGTCTGTCCCCTCTCTGTGTGGCTGTCCCACTGAGCTCTGCCACCGGGAGCAGAGAGCCCAGGCGCCGCGCCCTGCCCAGGCCGGCCTCAGCATTCTCCCTGCAGGCTGGGGCGTCAGCAACCCGGGTGAGCAGTCATGTGCAATAACCTATAACCAATGTCTTCTTTTCTCCCCTCGAAATGCTAACCCACCGGAACTAACAGCAAGCATTCAGAATGAGCGTAAGTCCCCCGGGCACCTCTCTGCACTCGTGCCTCTGGGAGGTAGGCGGGCAGCAAGGAGGGGCGGGAGAAGGCCAAGTGAGGAGAGACGGTGGGAGGGGGGGTGGATTAACCGCCTCTCCACCCTGCCTGCTGGGGCTTCTTGATACCGGAGCCCCTGTAGTGCGGCCCCTTGCCACACGGGGAGGGAAGGGGCTCACCCCGAGCACCCTGTTGCTGGGAACGGCAGAAGAGCAGGTGGGTAAGAAGGGCCGCGACTCCCCATGCTCTGGTGGCCTGCGCAGGAGCACCATGAACATTGGAGGTGGGGGCCAAGAGAGGAGCTAGCTCTTTGGCATGCAGACAAGTCCCTGGGGACGTAAGCCTCTGAGCTCCAGCCTCACCGCAGTTTGGCCATCCTTTGACTCTCCACGGGCTCAGAACCATCCTGGCCACTGGGTTCTGGAAAGGAGCTGCTTTGTGTTCCTTGATCCATTCAGTAAATGTATCTCAAGGACTCTTGTGCACCAAGCATTTACTAAGCATTGGGATATAAGAATGGGTAAAACAGAAGTTTCTCATAGGGATTCCATGAGATCTTAAAGGGATTCTTCTTATGCTCAGTCCTTAACATAACTCCCTTTCCAGCGGCCCGGTTTAAGGAGCTGGGTCCCTGGCATGGGGCACTGCCCACCCCCTGCTTGCCTGCTTGACACATGGCTCCGGAAGCTCTTCATTTCAGCCATTCCCCAAGCCAGGGCCCTGAAGCCCTGACCACCCTCTGTTTGTGCTGTTGCAGTATCCCAGCCCCCAACCATCACCAAGCAGTCAGTGAAGGACCACATCGTGGATCCCCGCGATAACATCTTGATTGAGTGTGAAGCAAAGGGGAACCCTGCCCCCAGGTGAGTGCGCTGGCAGGTAAATCCAAGCCCCCCCTACCAACCCCTGCAAAGAGTGCAGGTATTGAAGAGGTGTTGAAACCACGTCCTGGCCCTGGCTCTGAGCATAGTTGAAGCAGCTGGAAAATTAAAATTATCCAGCAGACATCTCTTGGATACCTACCTGGTGGAAAGTACAATTCAGAGAACTAAGACATTTAGCTGATGAGGAGACTGGGATCCAGAAATCTGAAGTGGCTTAAGGTCACACCACGAAGCCAGGACTAGATATTAAGTTTCCTGACTGTCGGTGTCACACATTCTTTCCAATGCCTTATGTCCCCAACACCCTGCCCCCCATTCCTAGCTTATAGGAAGTTCCTCTTGCTGGCTAACTTGAGTCTTCCATTCTGAGCACATCTCGGCTTGTGAGCACATCAGCATCAAATGAAGCGTCAGCAGACAAGAGCTGAAGGCCTGCAGTGTGCAGGCTGAGTGCGATGTTGCTCCTCACTGTCTCGTTAGAGCACCTCGCTGCCCTTCACAGGCGGACCCATGTCCTCGTGAAGAGGAAGTGAAATGGAAGGACAGAGATATTATGTACTTTTGCCAAGGTCACCCAGCTTGAAAGGGGGCAGAGCCTGGATTTAAACCCAGACCTCTGATGGCACCCTGCCCGCCCCCCACCCCAGGCCAGTTTGTTTCTACCAAACAAAAGACACTGGAGATCTAGAGATTGTTCTGCTATTTGTCCCCCACCTTTGAAGCAGCATCCACAGGCTGGACCGTTCAGACCAGACATGACAGGACCCCATGCTGGGCATCTGTCAGGAAAAACGAGGCAGGGTGGAACCTCGGGTATGTGGCAGCCTCCTTCTGCCCACCCCCCGCCCAGTTTGCATGAGCCTGAGAACAAGCAGGGCCTCTCTCATCCAGGCTGGAAGAAGCAGGGTCACCTGGGAGGGTCAGGCAGCGCATAGATGGCCTTCTGAAGTTTGGTCCTTTCCACCGTGGTTCTTTTGCAGGGACAATGATTCCATGACACTGAGCAGCCACTACTGCGCCAGCTTCTTTTAAGGTTATGTCCTGGGCAGGTGCAGATGTATCCCCCACCTCCAGAAGCAAAGGGAGATTCTAGTCTCTTCACCTCTGGGATCTTTTGAAGGCTGCTGGTTCTTTCAAAGCTGCCCCTCCTGGGCTATAATGTGCAGCCACTGCTTTATACTCCGCACCCACTGAGCAGAGCACAGATAACCTGAGCCATTGCCCTTTGGCTTTAGAGTCAGCTCTCAAACAAGGAGACAGGAGGACCAGAGCTAACTCCCTAATATGTTTGGCTCTGGTGAAATATGAATTTGGGTTTCATTCGTAGTCAGAGGTTGAGATGCCCTGGGGTGGAAGCTGAGCTGACTCTGGATTTGTAAAAAACTCAAATTCCCTGCCTGCTCCTGCAAAGAGCATAAACCCCCAGTGGCTGTTTGGGTACCTATCACAGCCATGACTCCCAGCCTTTGCTGGCTAAAAGCTCTAATGTCAGGAGCCTGCCCCCAGAGTTTCACCTGTGGCTGTGACCTGGGACTCTGCATTTTATCTGGCTTCCCAGCCAGTTCTGCCACTTAGCCAGGGTGGTATGGAGGTGTGGTTATGGGACTGGGCCAGGGACCGGGGCCCTGAGGTGCTCACCTGGAACCCAGAGCCCACCATGTTCTTCCATATTGTCCCTGCTTCTCCCCCTCCCCCCGCCACTGCCCACAGCTTCCACTGGACTCGAAACAGCAGGTTCTTCAACATCGCCAAGGACCCCCGGGTGTCAATGAGGAGGCGATCTGGGACCCTGGTGATCGACTTCCGCAGTGGGGGGCGGCCCGAGGAATATGAGGGGGAATACCAGTGCTTTGCCCGCAACAAATTTGGCACAGCCCTATCCAATAGGATCCGTCTGCAGGTGTCCAGTGAGTAGCACACGGTGGGACTGGCATGCCTTGCTCCTGGGTGCATGGCGGTGGGGGGGGGGGGATGGAGGATCATTCCAGAAGGGCCGCCCCGGTCCTTGGCCAATGGGTGCCTTGGTGCCCTGCATGTCCTGCCTGCTTTTCTGCCCCTGGGCAGGAGCACATCTCTCCCTGCTCAAAAAGATTCCTTGGAAAGGAGGCTTCCAAGCCAGAGTCTTGAACAACTTCACTGGTACTCTGGGCATAGGAGGAGAGGAAGGAGAGGAGCCTTTGGAGAAGTGTATCTGTTTAGACAGAAGGCCTCTCCTCTCTTGCTGCACCTGGCCTAGACTCACGGGCCCTCTTCGCCCGCTCCCTTGTTCTCCTGTTTGCCCTTCTGCCTTTCTTCCTTGTATGCCTGCCTGTAGCCGAGCTCCTTGCTCCTTGCCCTCCATCACCCTCACTTCATGATCTTCCGTCTGATTCTCCCCAGAGTCTCCCCTGTGGCCCAAGGAAAACCTAGACCCTGTCGTGGTTCAAGAAGGCGCTCCCTTGACGCTCCAGTGCAACCCCCCACCCGGACTTCCATCCCCAGTCATCTTCTGGATGAGCAGCTGTAAGTCTTGGGGGCCTGGCGTTTGATTTCTGCTTTCATCTTAGGGAGTGGGGCCAGTGTACTAAATAGGAGGGGCTTGCCCAAGGTTGGAAGACGTCGACTTGTGAGAAGCAGGTGTAAGGGGGCCTCGTGGCTGAGAACACATCAAGAGGTGGCTCAGGCTCATTTCCTAGCCCAGCTGCTGTTAGCTGTGTGGTCCTGAGCAAGTTGTGTAACATCTCTGGGCCTCAGTTTGCTTTTCTGGAAAAAAATAGGGCTAATAATTGTACTTATCTAATAGGATCATTATAAGGATCGACGAGTTAATACATCCAAAGTGCTTATAACAGAACCAGACACACAGTAAGTTTGTGACGATGAAGAAGAAAAGCAAGAGAAAAGAAAAGAGGAGGAAGGCGGGTTGACACCAAGCCTCCTTGAATTCAATCTTTGGTCCGTCTGGACTTACTAAGTGCTGCCCTGCTAGGACAGAGGGGCACAGGGATGAAACCTTTGATGAAGGAGCGACAGGGAGACAGGATGTTTGTAGCAGGGGGACAGAGTATCATCACTGAGAGCTTGTCCTGTTTCATTTTGGACATTTGGAGATTCATTTAACCACTCTGGACCTCAGTTTCTTCCCATGTTTTCCAATTAAAGTAAGTGGGGGCGTGTTATAAAGGGGCCTAGAGCATTGCTAGCTGTCTGTGTCTTCCTGGCTTCCCCTCCCCCTCCTCCATACTTGCCCCCCGCCCCCACCCCCACCCCCGGTCTCTCCATCCATCGGTCAGTCTATAGATCTGCCTGCCTGCTTAGCATCCATCATCCGTCCATCCCTGAGTTTTTGCCAGCCTGTTTCCAAAAGAGGCAGGGTTGTGAGCTGTTTTGCAGAGAGGGTGTGGCTTTGTGCTCACCCATTGTCTCTCTGTCATCTCAGTGCAAGTGCTTGGGAAGGTCTGCCTGGCCACAGGCTGGAGTGCTGGTTGATTCGCTAACTCTTCAGACTCTCTCGTCCCTGCATCACACCTGTCACCGGCTTCTGTCCAAGCTGTGTCCTGAGCAGATCTCATGCCCCTCCTCTTTCCATCATCACTGGCATCTCCCCAGTGTAGGCCACCATCAGCTTTTCCCTGGGTGGCAGTAATCATCCATAACTGGCCTCCCCGGTCTTTCTAAAAACATACATCTGATCGTTTCATTCATATGCTCCCCGCCCTTTACTGGCTCCTCCATCACCTCGGACAAAGTCCACACTTCTTTCCCTTCCTGATCTAGTTCCCTCTGCCTCCCTGGCCTTTCTCCTACCCCTGCCCCAGCTGCATGCTCTTAACCTTTAGCACCCGCTGTTCCTGCTGCTTGGAAACCTCCTAGGGCCCCTGTCTCTTCTGCCTGGTGTCATGGAGCCCCCAAGGTGGAGCTTAGGGCCCCCTGGCAGGGACTCGGTGCTCCTCTCTCAGCTCATCCCCTTCCCACTCACCACACTGCATAGCAACGATTTATCTACCGTCTCTTCTAGGCTGCAGGCTCCTTGAGGGCAGGAACTGTCTTACTCATTTCTCTTTCACCAGTCCCGGGCACAGTGCCTGGCTCACAGTAGGCCTGCAGGAAATCTTTGATAATAAGTCATTTGAAGAACTGCCCAGCCCATCATTGGAAAGATGACATCATTAACTTTGCACTTTACGAAATGGTAACTTAATAAACCGTTGTGGTGGATGGGAAGGAGTTAGCAATTAATAGTCAGCCTGACAAATATGCTTTTACAAGTCGAATAACCTGCAGACCTGGTCATTTGAATTGACATCTGATGCTTCAAAAATCATAGATAATGTAGTCCGCATCCACTGCCCCTCCCATGATGTCATTAATTCTAAAAAGCACCATTTTCATCTTTTAACATCTCTAAAAGTAGAAAGCATCCTAAAATTGATGGTGTGCATCATTGATTAGTATGTATCTTACAATTATAATTGGCAGTGCTTTTCCCTTTCCTGGTGGGAGTGAGGGCTTAAAAAAGAAAACAAGTGAATTTGACTCCTGACTTGGGGAGCATCTGAAGGATTGGGTCCCCTCCCTCCGGTTCAGGGCCAGTCGGAGCTTTCGTGATGCGAACAGGAGCTAGAAAAGACTGGTCCCGGAGCATGGGCGTGGTGGGCAGGCGGGTCCGAATCTAAATCCTCCTGTTCTCTCATTGCTTTTGCAACCTAGGACAAGTTAAACCCATTGCTTTCTTGTCTGTAAAATGGGAATAAGCCCTCCCTCAGAGTTGAGAGGATGAGAGGGAATCGGGTTCTACTCCTGGCCCCACCTGGCGCTCTGTTGGTGCTCAGTCGCCAGACCGATCACAACTGGCACTCCTGTTACCGTGACCGCTAATCTCCGTCGGTACCTCTGCTTCCTTACAGCCATGGAGCCCATCACCCAAGACAAGCGCGTCTCTCAGGGCCATAACGGCGACCTGTATTTCTCTAACGTGATGCTGCAGGACATGCAGACAGACTACAGCTGCAACGCGCGCTTCCACTTTACGCACACCATCCAGCAGAAGAATGCCTTCACCCTCAAGGTCCTCACCAGTAAGTGCAGGTCCCAGCCCGGGGCTGGGAGCCGGGGGCGGAAGCCCACGGAGCCCGAGGAGCCCCAGGTACCTGGGTCTGGGGGCAGCCTTGTCCCCGAGGCTGACCCAGAAATCCTTCCAGCTTATGAGGCCTGAGCTCCTTCAGCGGCTCTGAAACCACCTCACTTGATTCTGAAGCCTTGAGTTAAACTTGGTCCTACTCTGAGTCAATGCCTCTCAAGCTTCGGGGGCAGTCCGAATCACCTGGCCCACAGGGCAGCCATCCCCAGCCCAGCCCGAGCCTGCCTCCACGGCCCTGGCTCCGTGACCTCCCTCTGCTCTCCGGGTGCTCGGGACACACAGCAGCACTGCTTTGAGTGGTCATCTAGTCCCTGCCTGGTAGTCTGTACTTCTAGAAACAAAGCCACAGGACAGACTATCCGCCTTAGCAGGGACCCCAACACGAACTGTGTTTGATGCCAGACCACATGGGATGACTACATTTGCAAGCTGGAGGTCTATGTTCTTGTTTTATTTGTTTTCGTTTTTATTTCTGTATTCTGTTTGGCTGGTACCAAAGGGGTCAGCACTGCCTCACCCAGGATAGCGTGGGTGGCCCCGCAGAGGAGAGAAGCGAGTAGTCAGTTCCCAGACACGTTTCTTGCTGGGGCCCCACCGACCTGGAGCTCTGGCTGCAAGTCCTCAGCCTGCCTAGGACATTGAATTCCAGGGGGCTGTGTTCGTCTGCACCGTGGATTTGTAACAGGCCTTCTCTGGAGGAGCCCCCCACCCCCAAAAGACCTTGGTCTGTGTGACTCAGCTGTGGATGCTGTTTTCCACACCGGGGACAGTGGTGGTTGTGGGGGAAGCCAGGCAAAGAACCTTATGTGGGTGCTGACAGCTGCCCCGGGTTGGAGACGAGGGCCTGAACCCCGCTTTCCCGAGCCCACACGCCTCCCAGGGGGCGTCAGGGAGAGGCCAAGGGAGCTTGCTCCTCCCTCAGGACAGCGGGGGGCCTGGTCCTCTTTCCTCAGCCGCCGCTGCCAGTGATGGAAGCAGGTGGTGCTGAGAACCCCAGCCCCACACTCTGTCTCCACCTGGCTTTGAGGTGGACCCACAGGAAGCAGTTTCCTTCTTGTTCTCCTTCTCCTGTGTGGGAGTTCTTCCTCTCCTTCTCATTGTCTTCTCTTTGCTTTCTCACTCCCTTCCTCTCTATTTCCCTCCCGCCTTCTTCCTTGCCTCTTTCCGCCTCTCATCATCTCTCTCTCTCTCGGACCCCCACCTACCCTCCTCCAGCACCCCCGCTCCTGCAGCTCCCCACACACTGTTCCAAGTTGGAGTCGGGCTGCCCACAGTTTGCTGACCAACAGGATGGCTGGAAAACCCGGGATAAGCCCCCACATGCTCCTGGCAGTAGACCCAGCTTCAGTCTACTTTGCTGCCCCCTCGCTGGCCTTCCTATTCCAGACCCAGGCCCAGAGGGGACCCTTGGAGAAGAAAGTTGGGTTGTCTGAAGTGTCTCAGTTCATGTCAGGAGCGGTCGCCGACCAGCTGGCTGAGCTACGGAGGACAGAGTGGTCTGCCCAGGACCTCAGAGTGGCCTCCGGAGCCAGGACGGGGTGACAGCATGGGGCAGTGAGGGCAGCGGGAGCATCGAGCAGGATGCTCACTGAGCCGATCCCTGGATGGTCCTCAGTGCCATCACCTGGCTTCCTCTGCCTGCCCAGTGCGATGCTTAAAGTCAGACTCCTGTTTGGGGACTGAGTCAGGTGACCTTCTGTGGTCCTGGGCAGAAGCCCTCAAGATCACACAGGGTAGAGGCAGGGAGATGGAGGTGCTAAAGAGCCTTTCTCTGTGGAATTAGGCATAGAGATTTTTAGCAACATTTAGAAGTTGGGCTTTCCAGAAACATCCTTTTCTCTACCAGAGGAGGTAAGGGCTGTTTGTTTCTGCTTCATTTCTGAGTCCCCTACTCCACTGAAAACTCTTTCCACCAAATGCCAAGAACCGCCCCCCCCCCGCCCCGGTGATGGGAACAGAGCCCTGTCTGCCTCCTGGAGTTCTCCCAGGGGCAGCTTTGGCCAGGAGCAAGTTCTGGGCATCTGAGCCAGCCCAGAATTGGGTACAGTTGCTTAAAATAGCACAGTTGTGCTCTCTTTGCTTTCCTGCCTAGAGAGGACACAGGCTCTTTCTTGTACCTTCAGAACCAGGTCTGGGGGTGGGAGGAAAAACAGCCAAGCTGGGACAGCTTCCAAGTCTCTCCTCACCGCGGGTTTCCGTCACAGTTTGCCTCTTAGGGAAAGACACCAATCTCATCATGGCTGATTGTGCGTTACCTACATTTAAGGAAGGGCAGGGGGGAAAGATATCTAATACAAAACGCTGGGCGATCTGAAACCATTTTTTAAAATTTGTTTTGGGATGCAGTCAAAGACAAACGGAGTCAGCCTCACAGAGGGGTGATGTGCCTGTCCCACTTTGCCCATGCCAGAACAGGTCCCTTTGGTGACCATGGTGAGGGAGAAGGAGTCTCTCCTGAGGCAGACCATGGAGCACTAGCCCTACTTCCTCCTAATGTCTGCTATCTAAGTGGCACTCTTAGGAGTCAGAAAGTCTCCCTGAATTGCTCAGATGTGCTGCAGAATCCGCAAACTGTAAGATCAGTTCCAAACTTGGGTCACTTCTCTGGAAAGAGAGCAGTTCTATTTCACCTGGTGGCATGGGAGCTTAGGAGCATGAAGCCAGGGCCCTTTAAGCTGTGTGCCCCTGTCCTCCCCACAGAGAGGGATGTCCCCTCCTGAGTGCGTCCTCAGCCCCTCGTCCCTTCTGCCACCCTGCCTCTCCATTCCACTGCAGGTTGGTTCCCACACTTAGCACCGGACAAACCCAAGCTGACTTCCCAAACAGGCTCAGTCTTGCAACACACCCCACCTTAAGGGATAGTTCTGAATGATGCAAATCTCCCTACCAGGCTTTAAGCACATTTGGGAAGCAATACAGGTCCCAGCAAAGAGTGCACACAGCCTCTGCAATCCGTTTTAACAGGAGTTGATCTGTTTTCAAATATGCAAATATTCTGGCACAGCACCTCGCCTCCCTCAGGCGCTTGCTTGGACCGGGTCGGCTTCTCAAGGCTGTCTGCTTGGCTTCCAGTCAGCTGTACCGCCCCCCACCCCCTGTGGGTACCGTCAAAACTTGAACCCAGTAGCTGGACGCGGATGGCAGTAGAATGAAAAGCCTAGCCTTGGCGGGCTCAAGTGCCCTATTCCAAAACGTCTTTCACTGAGGATTAAATGCCCAGCAGTCTTAATTACCTAACATTGGAACCAAAGGCACCGGTCTGCTACTTAAGGAATGACTTCAGCCCAAGCCAGTCTAGGAGCTCTGAATCTCCAGCTTAGTCCATATGCTCTTTCTCTCCTGTCCCAGGCGCCCTTTCTGTTTCTGTTTCTGTTCCGAAAATCTGAACCGCAGCCTGGTTCTGTCTGCCTCCCTGGAGCACTCCCGACCTCCTCGGAAGGAGGACTTTCTGCCACCAGAGACATCGCACAGACCAGGGTGGTGCCCGCTGGTCAGGTGGGGGGGCCGGGGCGCTTGCCAAGGGTCCCTCTGTCCCTCCCTCTCAGCTGATGAACTATATCTCTTGGACTGTCTTCTCTCACTGACCTCCCACCTTTGCACCTTAGCTTCTGCCCAGGGAGGGCTTTGCACTTTTCCTCAGGGCTCACTCACACTCCTTTCTCTTTAGCTGCCCTGGGAGCTGGCCTGATCCAGAGTCCTGGGAACTGAGGATTTTGATGGGAAGTTGTTCAAAAGACGGCTACGGGATGCCACTAATCCTTATCTCATTTGTTTGAAATACAGTAGGATCAAGCCATTAAAGGTCAAGCCTAATTTTTTTCATTAAAAAGAAATTTCTTTTATTATTGCCTTTTTTTGCAGGATTTAACCTTTTCTTCCCTTTTTTGGGCTGTTTTATGTTGCTTGTTCTTCACCAAGCCCATTTCCTTTCCAAATATGCTGTGTCTTTCCTTTGCAAAATCCCCGGTTGTTTTCTGCGGCTTTGCATTTCTGTTGTTCTCTCCCTATTTATGCCTCCATGAGCTGTCCGTGGCCTCCTGTTTGCTCACCCTCTTTTGTTTATTGCAGACAACCCCTATAATGACTCGTCCTTAAGAAACCACCCTGACATGTATAGTGGTGAGTCGCCGCGGTAACCTTGGGAGTAACCTTGCCTGTCCTAACCCCAGTTTGCCTAACTTGACTGATACCGTGTCTCATTAACTCACGCTGGGTGGCAGGGCTGACAGTCGGCCAGACCAGGGTGCCAAGAGGCCCCCTTCCGGACACTGCTCTCCGGGAGGACGGTGTGGCCAGTGTGGGAGTTTGAGGTAACTCACGTGGTGCTCCGGTTTCTGGGAACATGCAAGCTGCCAGTTGCTGAAATCTGGACAGGTTGGCCAGACCAGGGTAGGACTCCAAAAGAGCTTCTTAGAGGATCCTGTAGAAACGTAGGAATCTGTGGTGGATGGATGGAGAATATCCGAGGAGAGGGGAGTCTGCACAGTGAGGAGGAAACAGGGAGTCTGGTTCCTGTTAGCGGTTTAAAGGATGCAGAGAGCTTTGTGATATAGTTAGTTAACCTGTACATGTCTGGAAGTGACCTGCCTACCTTGTAATCTAGGCTTAGTTACTTGAGGGTACCATTTCACCAGCCCCATGTCTCTTTAAAATCCTTCTGGAAAAAATGAGTAAGCGTCCAGCTCTGAGTTCTCTTTGAAGGTAAGTGTAAATGCAGGTGGGCCATGCCTGGTCTCTGTTGCCTGGGCTGCTTCTCTCCTCCCGCGGCGTGTGCAAATCCAGTGCCCAGCTGTCCACACACTTGGAACAGTTTCCGTGAGGCATATTTCTAACTCATCGCACAACTGGTTGCTCAGCTGATGAGTAGAGTAATTGGCTATTTCCACACCTGAGTCCCTGCCCCCCCACCATGGCTCAAGAATGTCTTGTTTTCCTTGA